GTGGAGAGTAGAAGCTGCGGCTGCCTGAGTGACACCGGGCTAAAATGGGGTCAACTTAGAAAAGGGCACAGATTTGGTTCTGTGCGCACAGAAGGAGATTTTCAAGAGGAGAGTTTCAGCACCGAGGACAGCTCCGATCACATCCATTGAACTGATTCCTCAAAAATGTTTTACTCCTGTGTGTGTTAGCAAAATATCTCCTGAACCACAGGACGAATTTCAATTAAACTCTTAAAGTTTATGCTCTCAGTGTTCATGTATAACTGGTTAACTGTTGGAGTCCTCCAATTGGCTGCCACAGCTGATCAAACTTTGGAACACAAAAATGACTACAACACAGTCAGTTTTACAGATGTTAGACTAAAGTTTGGTGTGGATAGTCATTCATAACTCATACTCTGATAGCCAACTGATCACATGAGAGCTTTTCTTTAAACTTTGTAATTAGCCATTGAAGACAAACTTGTCCGTCTGTTAGCAAAATTTCTCATGAACCCCTTAATATATTTTAAGGAAATTGTTTGTAAACAGTTATTGGAGCTATTTTGGAGTCAACCCAATTACAATGGTTGTTATAACTAATCAGTTATACTTTCCACAAAATTGTCTATAACTAAGTAGTTTTATGAATTGTCAGCAAATTTTTAATGTGGTAGTAGCTGAGAGTTGTCTTGTTGTTTTGTGTATGTAACATACACAAAAACACACTGAGCTAGATACAACAAGAATCTCAAAATCACAAACTTGTGCATAATGTCATTTATAAAGTTTGACCAAAATGCCTATAACTGTATCCATCATGGGATGACCTTGGTCTAAAGCTCTGATAGGAAATGCAGAATATGTATTTCTTCAATGAAGTCCTGGGTTTTTAATGTTTGATGTTTGGCTTTATTTTGCCTCCATGTAACAGTTTTGTTCTTTCTGGTTCGATTTCTTCCTTTTCCCCTCTGGGCTGCAAAACACTCATTCATATTTAAAGACGACCTGAAAATTCAATGTGAGAATTATAATTTTCTGGACCAACCATGACCAGAATCCATCCTGATCACCTGACACAGAGGCAATCTGCCCCCCCCCCCCACCCCCACTTTAATATGTAATGAGAGTGCGGCAGCAGATTAAAACTGGCTGCATGAGGAAAAGCCTGTATGTGAGGTGGGACAGGCTGAACAGCTCCTGGGATTAAAAACTGCTCTCATTTAGCTGTTTACTAAAGCAGAAATAAGTAGGACTGAATTAAAAAAAAGACTTTCTGGAGGGAAAAATCATTTGATTTTATATCTGTAATTATTTTTTAAAGCATGAATTTAGAGTTTAAATAATTGATGTAATATAGCTGCATTTACCTGTATTGACCAGAACATTTGATC